TATTATTTTTTATATTCCCCCTCCCTTTTTATTGTAAGCCGCCCTGAGTCTTCCGAGAGTGGGCGGCATACAAAACTAATAAATAATAATAATAAAAAAAAGAGAAATTGAAGAAAGAGACTTGAGTGCAAAACATTTACAACAGAGAGACAGGGAAGTATCTTTCCCCTATTTTGCAGACTTTAAAATTATGGAGAAGAAATCTAGTATTTCTCCAAAGCTTACTGGAACTTCTTAATAAGAAAATCACTAACAACAGATAAGATAGCTGCAAGAGGATGATTACTAGGAACACCCAGTGGCCCATATTACATTGCTGTACTGAGAGCTACACTGGCTACAGTTTGCTTCTGGGTGCAATTCAAGTAAATTTCTGCCCTTAAAGGAGACAGGAATATCCTCTCAGGATCTACAGAAATCGGCTCCCCCCAAATAAATAAATAAATAAATAAATCTCTGTACCTTATACTCTCAAAGCCAATTGGCTGAAATTTGATGACGGTCCCTATCGCTCTTTTCCGGGAAAACAACTCCAAGCCTCTTCTCCACAGCCTTTCTTCTGCCGCCGTTCCACTGTCACCTTTTTCAGCCAATAAACCATGGCCTTGGGCTTGAAGGACATAGACTTCTCGCCCAATAACAGCTTTCAAGAATTGTTCTCCGCCCAGCAATGAGCGGAGGTTCAGCTGATTTCCCAAGAAGCAGGACTTAAACCGAAGAGGAAATGGGCGGGGCGGCCTTTGAGTGACATTTCTTAAAATCTATCAAAATATTCAAACCGAAGGGCGACGGGGAGAAGCAGGTTTAGGTGGGCTTCTTGTTAATCTACGCCCAATGATAAATGTAGAGCTGTAGAGGGGATTTATTTGACATTAAGGTTCACCGGATCCAATAGGGAGAAGAGCAGGCGGGATTTAAACCAGTTTAGACCAGTCCCTTAGAAGGCTGCCTTATTTCAGTCAATAGAAAGCACCGTGGGTTGAAAACGTCAGCTGTACCCAATAGGGCGTGAAAACGTTTTGTGACGAACGGAACGAGGGGCCAATCGGATACGATTGGGTCGATTATGTGCAGATGAGCCACGTTCGGGTGTGGCACTGAGCATCGCCGTGATCCCGATCCGCCACAGTGACCATGCCGGCCGTTTCCAAGGGAGACGGGATGCGGGGCCTGGCCGTATTTATCTCCGATATCCGAAACTGTAAGTGATTGTGGCTATGGGGAAGACCAGCTAGCAAATGACGATCCTTCAGAACTGAGGGAATCTTGTATGCGCGGGCACAGTGGAGGATTGCACCGTGAGGAGGATTCGGCCGGGTTCCTAAAGGGGAGGGTGGAAGTGGCCCGTGATTGTGCACGGCGGCGGGGTTGTGTGTGTGTGGGTGGTGGTGGTGGTGGTGGGTGTGGGGCTAGTCGGCTGAAGGCAAAATACTTGAACCTTGAAGAGAGACGCCTGCAGCCCGTTTGTCTACTCAGTGGGGCTTCGGGAAATGGAAAATGGAAAGTAGGCAGTCTGGGAGGAGACGACCTACCGTCAGGGTAATGGGCGAGGCTGCCAGCCACCAGACATGCCCGCCGTTTGGGTAGGGAGAGGCCTGCCAGTAATTGGAGGTGGATACAAGTTGGATAAAGATGGCACAGGCAGTGGGGATGTTGGTTAATTGGAGGCGTTCCTACACGAACGTAGAGACAATTCACCTTGGGATTTCTGTCTGCCTATGCCTATTTTGCTTAATCCGGAAAGTTTTACTATTTAAATAAAGGGGGGGGGGGCAGAGAAACGAAACGTTGTTTAGGGAGGTGGAAATTGGGGATCTTGGCTACTGTAGGGAAACCAGAGTGTGGGAGGATAAGAAAGGGGTTCTGAGGTTTGCCTAGGGGTAAGATTCCATTCCCTCTCCTTATGTCCCCAGATAACCTCCAAAGATATTGCAGCTGACGTTGGAGGTAGACAGCTGTCACATGCTAACTGCCATAAGTTAGGGCAGGCTTTTGCAAATTTGAGGGAATATTATATGTTTGGGAATCAAGTGTATGAAGGCTTAAAAAGGGCTCTTGGACCTTTGCAGAAGGCCTTAAGTGTAGCCTTACTATATATATTTGGCTACAAAACGCCTTGAAATTACTTTTCTCTATAGTATTCCTATTGCTAGTCATCTAGAGTTTTGCAGCCTAGATACAAGCTTTATTACAGGGATGTTGCCACAAAATAAGGAATTGCTGTTTAGAATCTGCATAAGAGTAAGAAAGATTGAGGAAGTCAGATTGTCCTATGGAAAACTATGGAAGGCTTCTAATCACTTTAAATTGTCAGCTTTTCTATGGCAGTCATGTCCCATTTAATATCAGTTTCAATCTGGAGGAGTTCTAGTTGTCATTGAAGTGAAATGGGTGAGCCTGATCGATTATGCTTAAAGCATATATTTGTAGCTCCCTGCAGTAAGTGATGCTGGGAAAAAATCCAATTACTGGCTCTGATGGCATATTTTCAGGTCCTCTCATTTTTCAGATGATCTTTAGTCATGAAGAAAGCTCTAATGATCAGGAGGCCAAGGTGTTACAGTATATTTGAAACCCCAGAGATTTTAAGTCAGATCTAGGTTTCTTCTGTTTAGACTGGTATGCACATTCTTTGTATGCAAAGGTTCCACAATTTATCCCATGAAAACATCATTTGAAAGGATGAAGTAAAACAGGAGTAGGCAATCTAGTGCTCTCCAAATTTTAGGTGATAATTCCCATTAGTCCCAGCCAGAATTCTGGGAGTTGTTGTGCAGATGTTTTTGATGGGCATCAGGTTACTTATCCCTGAGGTTAAAAGTCATGAGTAAGGTCTTCTGTCTGAAAAAAACATTGCAGAGCTAGGTTGCTTCATAATCATATTTTCTTCTGTTCTTATGACAGTAGAAAATTCAGTGTGCCTGTTTTTAAATTGCTTTACATAGCTATGCTTTCTTGCATATCATTTATACCTAGTTAGAGATGTCAGCTTTGCTTTAGAGAAAAATTTGGGAAGGGAGTATGACACACTTCCAGAAAGGTGTTGTCCTAAAACAGCCAGATTGGAAAGGAAGGTTCTGCGGCTTTAACAGTGGGGGGGGGGGGGAGATGGCATTTTGTTGCTGCTTGTCATGCAGAGATAACAAAAGATACTGCTGCCAACATTTATTTGTGAAAGCAGCAATTAACAATGAAGAAGCCGGACTTCCAGCTGATGTCGCAGCGATCTCAGACACAGGAAATGGGTCTCCGCGTTCCCTGTGCTGAATTCTTCCTGTTTGTGGGCTCCCGGAGGAACCAAAGCTGCCTGTAGGGGTGGTGAAGCAAAGAGTGGCACCCTGTGATGTCGAGGAGAGTCACAGCTCTCTTGTCTGACCCCGGGGTTTGTTTGTCTATTCCCCCTGTGTCATTCCATGTCAAGTGGTCTGGGGCTCCCTGCTCGACCATCACGGATTTCGATGAAATTTGGTGTGAATATGCACATACATCCTCAGTGAACATTGGTAAAGTGTTACGTGTGCTGATGCAACACTTGCGGAGATATAGTCATTTGTGTGACCCCCATACTGCAGCCTTCTACATTATGACCCTGAGGGTTCAGCAACTTTGAGACATAATATCTGCAGCAATATTTTGTTGAGAGAAATAAAACTTGGCCATCTTGTACAATCATCCTCATTAGAAAGAGCATGTTTCAACCCCCCTAAAAAAGTAGGGTTGGTGTTTCATCACTGACGTATAAAGCCCTAAAAATAGGGACAAAGTTGAGGACGTTGTATGGCAACGTCACATGCATTCTATTATTGTTTTGTATTGTTTGTTTTATATAAACATCATTACTACTATTATATTGCATTGGTCCATGGTGACATTGTAACTACCCGTGAATGCTTCATCATGTGATTTTGTTTCACCAAATCACCATACGACAGTTGGTGGCATGACTAAATGTTTGGCTGCTCAAGCCAGCCTTCAGTGACCATCAACCAAACAAATACTGACGCTGACAGATCTGTTCAACTTTTGCAACAGAAACAGTCACGGAATTAAATATATACGTTCCAAAGGAAGATATCAAAGGATGCTGCAAGAAGAAAGATGGAAAGTTGGCAGCACAATACCTGGCACAAGAGATCATCACCAGTTTGTGCCAGTTGATTCAAATTTGATTTCTGTCAGAAAAGTTTCAAATGACACGGTTATCTTTGTGGCCAAAATGTCCAATACTGTCGATCTGAATTTAAAATTGGCTGACATATTTCCCAGTTGTCATGTTGCCTGCATTTATGACCAAAAAATGATGGGTAGGCAACATTGTGGAGATTTTGATCGAACAAAATGATGTGTTGGTAGCATTTATGCATCTGCGAGGCCCTGCTTTTTATTGGCCTGAAAGACAAGATGTTTGTTGAGTTCCTGAACCACATCTTGTTTGCGTGCTTCCAGCACCTTCAGTTACGTCGTCAGGTTGACAATATCAATTTCCAGAAGCGACACTAAAGAACATGGCGTATAAATTCTATAATAAATAAGCAATCATTGGAATTTGGCAGTTTATATGAACAGTACGGACTTTGGCTTGGGAACCATATAAGATACCCACTTTAGGCTTGGGAACCTAGGATAAGCTGCCCAATCTTCGGCTTGGGAACCAGACAGATACCCACACAAGGCTCTGGAACCTCGAGGAGGAAACAAAACTACAGGCTTGGGATCCTGAACCAAGAAACCCACCCGTGGCTGGTATTGCATGGCTGTTGGGTCTTTCCACTATGGCGTTGGGGTTGCTGGTTCAAGTGCCTGAACTGGTAGTGACAACACCGTCATCAACTTTCCCTATTTTTAGGGCTTTATACATCAGCGATGAAACACCAACCCTACCTTTTATGGGGTTTGAAACATGCTCTTTGTAACGAGGATGATTTAATAAAGTTTCCAGAAGGTATTTTTTTGTAAAAGCGGACCGCAGATAGCCCATTTTTGGCATTTTTACAAAAACCGTTAACTTTACACTCAATTTGTGAACTATTGGAAAGCAGTAGGATAATGAAGTTTTATATTCAAAAACCTTGTGTTGCTAAGTTATTGCGCACAAAGTTTCACGTTTCTCATACCTTCCTTCCAGAGATATAAAAAGCCAAACTTTAAGCTTTAAAGTTAAAGGAAGACGTTAAAGTCTCAAGCTGCAGTCATTTTCGTCCAACTTTGCTCCAACTTATCTAGATGGAGGTCGCTCATGAGAATGTTTTTATCATTTTGTTTAATACAGCACAAGTTGTACAAGATGGCCAAGTTTTGTTTCTCTCAACAAAATATTGCCGGAGATATTATGTCTCAAAGTTGCTGAACCCTCAGGGTCATACTATAGAAGGCTGCGGTATGGGGTCAAACAAATGACTATATCTCCACAACTATTGCATCGTCACACGTAACACTTTACCAATGTTCATTGGGGACGTGTGTGCATGTTCACACCAAATTTCATCGAAATCTGTGATGGTCGAGCTGGGCACTTTTCTGAAATCAGACCACTCGACATGGAATGACCCCCCCCCCCCTCTCAGCCACGGCAAGAAGAGGCAGCCTAAAGATGGCTGCCCCTAAGCTGGGACAACTGAAGAACAACTAAGACTGGTGCTGGAGCAAAGTAGGTGAACTCTTTTGGAACTGGGAGAGAGGATTTTCTGTTTGCTTTAAACATAACCCCAATGGACAATTTAGAATTATCTGCTCAGAACTATGTATTAAACACCAGACTGGAAATGGAAGGTGCAGGAGAGGAAAGTAATAAATTTTGAAATATACAGGAAATTGGACTCTTAAATTGGGAAGAAGTGGTACTGGGAAGGCATTTTAAAATGATGGAATCTCTTACCTACGAAACTTATTCTACTTTTATAACTGCTTTCCAAGTTTCCAAGTTTAATAAAATTTGTATGCCGCCCACTCCCATTGGGACTCTGGGCGGCTCACAACAAGACAAGAAACACTTAAA